AAATGAAACATACATAAATACTTTGAATGCAACAATAAATGTGTCTTCAAAATAGACCCTCCTACACAAATTTCCCACGGCACATCCTGTTCAAATTGGTAAGATGCAAACAATCAAGTCCATGAGACAATCACTGGTAGTGGACAGAGTTTTGGGGCCACCTGGGACCACTCCCACTGCTTTCCAGAACCTGACACACACCTACTAAAATGGTTCCTTACTTCTGGTAATTGCGACTCCACATCAGCCATCACCCGCACTGCTGCGCCCATGGGTGGTGGTGCTTTAGGACTCAAGAAGTCCAAACTGCACCTTGACTTGGGGCATGTGCCCCTATCCACAAGTGAGCATTCACCTGAAAGAACACACAAATTTGTTAATATGACAGATATTCCTTTCACACAGTAACAAATTGCAGTACTACCACCAAACCCTCCAGTTCTCTCAACACGCCCGAATCACCTGAATATATCGTGTCCAAACCCTCTTCACAGTCAGGAAAATCCATCTCTTCAATGATGCTGTTCTTGGAGCAAATGTAACTATTCAACAAACAGAAGGAGGATCTTTGTAAAGGGGCAAGATTTTGTGTCAATTTGCATATCATAAAAGTGTATCTAACTTCACAGTACAAAAATATGTGCACATGCATACTTGTCCACGAAGATAACGAAACTGAACATAATAATCAATAAGTTAGTCCATGACAAAGACTGTCAACGATCCCCTTCGAAATAAGACAAACCAAGACCCTATATTGTAAAACAAGAAGATATATAAGGCATCTGTGGAGTGCGCTCTCCTTCAAATGCTAAAGGAAATAACTATAAATTAATAATCACGTGATTTAGTGATACATTTTTTATGCATAACTTCCATTAATACATTTTTAGAATGTATTAGATTTGTCACACACGCCATAGAAGTTTTATATCACTATGAAAATATTTCACATCAAATCTGCATGTAAGTTTAAGATCTATCTCCAAAAAAAAAAAAACTACAGATTCCAAATTATAATCGTCAATTAGTTACTGCCATCAAACTGAAAGCCTAATGTGTATTTTGTGACTATCACATTCACATTCTGCAAAAGAAATTTATAAAATAGTCTGTGCACCATCGCTTACACGTGGCCAAGTGTCGTGCTAAAGTAACAACGAACCATCAACCCAGAAGTTAATCTTACCAACAGTTCCGCGTCACAGGAGTTTAAGACCCAGTCCGCAGACGATAAAGATTACAAACTATAAAGCAAACTTCGTTAGCAAATCTGCTCAAAGTAACTAGAATGACAGAACGTCTTTTCCAATAAAAATATGGAACCAGCTAAAAGCATGAAGCGGAGTCCTTGATAAGCTGACAATTGCTCAGATGGTCAAGAACTTCCCTGCTTGTTGTGGGAGCTTAGCGTTTCTTATGCTCATCACAAGAGCGTGCCACTGGATGAAAATTTATGTTCCTGGGGGACATTCTATTGGGGATGGGAGAAGTTAAGAATAATTTCAGTCTTGTGGGTTTTAATGCTTTCAAATTTAAAAATGTGCAAGAAGAATAATGATCAGCATTTTACTGCTAAGGAGTCACCAAACAACTAAAGAAACAAACATGATCCTTCGTCAACTAGTAACAAACATGAATTGCAGGTAAACCAAGAGACTGATACGTATCCGCCGGAGATACCAGACTTTCTGCCACTTTCAGTCGTCTTCCTCATAGTCGAGCTGGATATCAGCAGCCTGACCAATTGAATCTTATCTATACTAGCCAGGAAGTAGAACTCAGGGGCCAAAATATGCGCCAGGCACAGTCAGAGACCAGCACCGACTCAATTTCTGAAGTAGAGGTAGTGGGGGCACGGCTTCCAATCTCTGCATGCGCATAGGACGGTTTGGAATCGAGCTGTTGCATGTAGGATGGTCTGGGTGGAATGGTCACAGTTCACTGCGATAAAGAACGAAGAGTTGACTGTTGCGAATCGCAAACTCATATTTGCAGAGTGGAGCGCAAAATGATCGACCGAGAAAAAGATTTTTTAGATACCGAGTATTAATCTCTGGAAATGAATCCTAACATAAACATTCACTTTATGAGAAGTCTCAAGAAAATGCATAAAATAATGAAAAGCATAGCGTACAGACTTCAGCTGAAGAGTTTGGCGTAATATAACATCATAATACTTTTAGTTTCACAAATACTCTGAATTCGCAAGAAAAATAAATCAATATTGACTGATCACAGACTAATACTAAACAAATGGATCTGTGTACAAGACAGCCCAAATCAATGAAGTCTTCTCAGGTGATTAGCTATGTGAGTAAGCAGACTGGAGACTGTCTCCATCTGCAGGGTTGATGTCATGAGACACCTAACTGCCCATTGGTTTGTACCCACGAATGGCTTTGAACCAAGCATTTGTGTCACAACAGTTCTGATGATGGAGGCAGAGACAGCCTCTGAAACAATGGACTAGAATTCCACACTTACATGACTGAACATAAAAGAATTTATTGAATTCAATCACAGTGACAGCTTCAAATCTTCCATGGCCTTAACCACAACAATAGGACTTCATATTGGGTATTTGTAATTGTTAGTAAGACCAGTCTTATGTGGCGAGAGCAGAGATCTCAATCGGGATAATATCTACATTAATTAAAATCCCGAAATGCCCATTTATTTGTGGTTGAAGAGTCATATTTAATGTGTGCTAGACTTTTCTTGTGTAAAACCACACATTCAGATCTTAAACTTTATCGCTACCTTGTCGCTAATGAACACGTTAGTTAAAATTTGGTGGAAGCATCACAATGTGCTCTGTCATTGGTATTGATCATGCATCTGAAATTTTCATTCACAGTTTATACTTATCCCCAAAATTACCTTGGTCCAGAAACCTTCTGCAGGACCATCCAACCATGCACAGCCCAAGTTCGAGCCTTCGCCTCCTCCCATGCGGGAACTTCTACCAGAACTCAAAATGGCGATGAAACCTAACGATCGGGGCACCACGGATATCTTGAAAAAAACATTAATATTCTCCAAAAGGAATACACGGAGCGCCAGATATCAGTGGACTTCTTTATATTCACCATGGCATTCTCTGTGCTCAAAGCCATGAAAACCTCCGACAAACACAGAGTTCAAAAATAAAAACCACTATAGATGAACTCTCTTCTGAGATAGTCCTACTTCAGTGAAGTGAGTGCCCCTGCCTACGCGAACTCCAGGTTCCCCTTGACCTGCAAATGTCCTTCTGCCAGGGTCACAGTAGATGGCATAGGGCAGCAGCTACGTCATTACTGAGGCGAGGCTATTGAAGAATGACTTCACTAAAGGCGCGTCACCAGATAGTGACAGGCGACAATCACATACTGATTGTACCGGTTGTGATACTGCGATGGAGAAGGCAACGGGAAACCACTCCATTACACTCGTAATTCCCTAGTATAATCACGCGTGGCAGAAACGAACGTATGGCTCAAATTGCTACGCTGATCGCCAACATCCGGAACGGATAGGCACTTCCGCAACTCAGCAACTAGTGGCATCTTTCGTGTGTAGTGTGAACTTCATCAAAGTAACTCATATCGTCGCAAATAGACGGCGCGTCTCAACAATGCAAAGCGCAAAAAGGTCTTTGCAACTGTCGTATACAAGCAATTTTGGTTTCCATGGATGCATATTGTTTACAACATAGAGCGAGCGTAGTGCAATTTTAATCGTAAATTAAAGTAGGAACATCATGTGGAAGGCAAGAACCAAATCATTGGGAAGACTCTTCGGAATACAGGTTAGTAATACTGGCTTCTTCTTCAGTAACAAATTTAGTATCACTTGTAAATTGCCTGTTTCAACACAATACAAAATATAAAGACAGACGTGCTCGGATCAGGATGCAAAGGAAGAAGAATGAAAAGTCGCAATCCGTACTCAAACACGTACTTTATATACGTGAAGTCTTTTCTCATTTGAATTTTGAGTGGTCACATCTGACGGAAAAAATGTACCGCATAATATCACGTACCCCTTCAAGAATTAATCGTTATCGTAGCAATATAATGCAAGCTATAAATGGACATAAGTGTGTCTTTCCCAACACATGATTTAATAACGCATTCGTAATATTATTATTATTATTGACGTAAATACGTCTATAAGGAAGGGTCATTCGGCAAAAAAGTGGAACGAAAAAGTGTAACTTCATTATTATGTTACCTAGGAAACGTTTCATTACATTACATTCATCTACCACAGACCCATCTTAAGCGTAACTAATTCAAGTTAATTAAGAAAATTCTTAATCAAACTTTACGCAATTGTAAAGCATGTATAAAGGAAATATTTAGAATAAAGCCAATATATAAACTTCCTTTCCGTATAGACGTATTTACGTCAAATTCTCCGGAACACGTGGTTCCACTGACAACTTTTTTAACAGTTGGTGTGTACACAAACAAATTTTACATAAGTCCTTGTGTTTTTGAAAATCTGCTAAGCCTGGCCTCCTAACTAAACAGACTTTAATTGTAGTTACGAGACGCCTTACCCACGCAAATTTATCACGTACTGCGCATAGACCTACTTTTAACCCAGCGTCAGTTGGCGTGCGTGCACACGTTTAGGCAACAGAACATTCACATCTGAATCCTTGATCCTGAATAAGACTTTCTTAGGTCGGAAAATGTAGTGGATGACAAATAATTTGTTGTGCCATAAAAGTTGTGTAGATGGCGCTCTCATATAGCTTATAGCCCTTAAGCTGATTTCTGTCGCTACGTACACAGGACAAACACAACTACGCCTCACGCCATATTGGTTTCAGCTGCGTCTCAATAACAGATTCACGATCTCTCTGCGCAGATCAACTATAGGACAGAAAGTGTCTGATTTTTAAACATCAGTACAATAAAATGCAAACTCTGTCAGTGCGACGACCGGATATGTCTGAGATGCCTTATCTTTTTCAGAAGAGTGAGAAACTTGACAGAGTGGGCAAGAAAGCTCGAGGCCACAAGCAGACTCATCGCTGCCAGGACGACAAGGACGTCAAGGTCGATAAGGGAAGCCAGTTCGATCAGGGCGGCGAGTGCACTCCGAAGAACTGCGCTCAGGACAACACCAAAAAAGGTCAAACATTGATTTCAAACGAATTGTTAAGGTTAATGAAGCAAGGCGGTTGCAAAGGGCAAGGAATGTAACTGGAAAAGAGAAACAAGGAATGCAAGGAAAGCACTTGTGAGAATACAGCTTGTACATGAGCACGTGGAGGGAAATCAGATGGATTTTAGGGAAATTAAGTACACGATGAGGTTGAAAAAAAAAATTCAGACTTTCACTGGACCCAAACGCTATTTATCGTGTTGACAGCAGTCTGACACTGATATCTGCACTGACCAATACAAATTCAGTTCTTAACCTCTAACACAAATTCCTTAAGATCTGTTTAATATTATCTTCCCATCTATGAATTTATCTTTTGGGATTTCTATCTGCATACATTCTTTATGCGTCCATATGTTTTGCATGCTACTTGATTTCTGTGGAGATCGTCAATATGATATTTCTTTTTATCCAGTTCCGAACACGTGATTTTTCTCAGGTTCAGGCAACCATTCTGTTCTTAGATATCTCGAAATAAGCTCGTACGTTCTTCTCCTCGGTCGACAGAGACAAAATTTCCCACCCACAGAATAGAATAGGACGCAGGTTTTCAGGTCATAGACAGAAACACAAAGAGACCCTGATCTGCTTGGAAGTAAGAGTTTCTCCGTCGAAAAAGATGTCTTCATGAATGCAACTTTGGTATTTTTTTCGTCGCCCCCCAAAGACGCGAAGTTCACCACTGTCAATCAGTGGCAGTCGTAAGATGCTTTGGTGACTAATTTGGTCACACACTGATCTTAAAAAACTTCCTCGCTAGCATCTAATGGGCAGTCTTTGTGTTTTTATTCATGATCTTCGAGTTTTCAGCCATTAAAATATCGTCATCAGGATCTGATGTGTCCCATTCAGTTCCAACCCCTGACATTTTAATGATTCTGTTAGTCTTCTTAACCAACAGAAATTTCTAAAACCAATCAGTAAACCTAACCTAACCTAACATAACATAACCTAACCTAACCCAAACCTAACCTAACCTAACCTAACCTAACCTAACTTTAACGACGTTATAAAGACGACCAGACAGACAGCATTTGCGACCGGTCCCGTATTGAATTAACTCAGAATGAGATTTCACGTTCTTACGCGTCGGTTTCGTAGCCATCTTGGTTTTTACATCGAGTAGACTCATAGAAGTTTACCGGCACGTCATTCACTACTAGCAGGCCATAGAAACTGTCCGAAAATTATGTGCTTTCGTCAGTATTAAAATCTTCAGTTTAAAATATACATTTGCAGTTTTATGAAACTCCATAAATAATATTATCTGGCGACTGCAATCATATTCAATTTACATTAGGTTTGTAAACCTACTTCAGAAAGACACTACTGAAGCGGACAATTACTTTAGTCGTGTAAAATATGGGTTTTCTACGTAAAGTCTTGCCTGTGACTATGATTGTTTGTTACAGTTGAACATTCACGTTCCCGCAATCCAGTGTTACGTGACTTTGAACCGTTGAAACTAATAGGAGGAGGCAGTAAGTATAAATTTGTGTTAATATTTAGGACATCAGCTGTGCATTTCCCTGGTTATCTGAAATCTTTAAATGAATGTGCAAAGTCCATCGAAAGCAGTTATCGTCACGAAACTTTTCAAACCTGTTACAAAAGTCAGACATCAGTAATTAAGAACAATTGTTATGTGACCAAAACTTATTAAAATTACAAGCCAAATCCTGATTAACAGCGTTTACCGAATAATGCATCAGAAATATCCGACATCTTTTTCTCTGGCTTCAAGCGGTCATACTCGGTGGCTGAATACGGCTAGGAACTACTCACAACTTTTAAAAAGTTTGAACCAATTTCAACCGTCATGTCCGCATCGCGAGGGCCTTGATAAAATATTCGTGAATTCTGATTCTTAGCAGCAAATTCAACTTACCAACTGACTCTTTTACCATCCTTGTGGATGATGACGGGCGTTCTCACTAATGCAAGTGTTAAATAAGGAGAAATATAGAGACCAGAGTCTTCCTAGACCAGGTCCAAACTCACTGCACTCTTGCAGTGTGACGATAATAATAATAATTCATATTTGTAGTGAATTTCTGTGGCCTGATTCTTTTTTGTGTAAATTACATTTTAATAATCCACTGTAACACCACTAAAGTATTCAATTATCGTCGTTGATAAATATGAGTGGCGTGTTAATACATACATTTGTTTTCCTTTAAAAATTGTGTCGATATATATATATTATTTTCTTGAATAGTTAGCCTGTATTACCATTTTTCTTTCAGACATGACAATTTTATATTAACACAAAGGCTTTTATACAGAATTTTAATCTTCATGAACATCGACAGATATCAGAGTCCTTAATTCAAGAGACAGGAACGCTGAATAATAAATGCGTGATTTTACAGGTTGAGTAACGCGGAATAATAAATGCGTGATTTTACAGGTTATGGCAACATCTTCCTAGTGAGGAAAAAATGCGGTGCTGATGAAAACAAATTGTACGCCATGAAGATAGTGGACATTATCAACTTTCTGTCACAAGACAAAATAAAATTCCTCGATACCGAGTGGTTTATCAGCAAGATTGTGTGTCACTCCCCTTTCCTGGCCAGAATCTATTACTCGTTCTACACAGAATCGAAGTTTTGCTTTATACAGGGTGAGTCTCTGACAATCTATTTCTGATTCCGCGACGTTTGAGACGACAGAATCCAAAGCAGACATTATGCTCATCCCTGACTGCGGGAAGAATCTTTCTTGTCCGTATATTTTCGCGGCTGGAGTTCAGACGTTGAACGTTCGGTATTAACCGACGTTTCGGTAAACATTACAGATGTCATTTTCAAGGTGGGGTCATTTCAGAAGGCCTTGAAAATTGCAGGAGAAATATTTTCAAAAACGATGGATTCAGTATTTTAAGTATGGGCCTACGTTTCACAGAGTAAGGTGACGTAGGCTTAATAACTGGTCATGATTAACGTAGTTGTTATGACCGCGTTTTGGTATAGGCGTAATAATTTATAGATGTATTCTTAAACGACACTGTACCATTCAGTGACCTCTTGTACCACGAAATTTCATTACAGTAACAAAGTTGTTATATTATTCTTTCAGATTATTTTCCAGGCGGTGACCTGAGTGTCTATTTGGAAGACATGAAGAAACTTCCGGAGAGAGAGGCGCGGTATTTTCTAGCAGAGATAATCATGGGAATACAGCACCTTCATGAGGTAAGGACACTCGAGTCTCCAACAAAATACACATAAAAGTATTTAACTGATTACGTCAAAAACATTTTTAGATCTCATTAAATATTATCCACGTATAAAAACATTTTTAATTTATCAACAACAACCTCTGATTTGCATTGCCATGTTTGTTTAGTCACTGACTACGTACTGGGCGGCCGGGGTTCAATCCCCGACGGGGGAAGAGGATTTTTCCTCTAGCCTCTGCGTCCAGACCGATTCTGGGGCCCACCCAGCCTCCTATCCAATGGGTACCGGGGGGCCTATCCCCATGTGGCGTGACGCTGACCACTCACCCCCATCTAGTGCCAAGGTCAACAATTAGTAGGAGCTATACCGTCTCTCCCTCCAAGCGTCTAAATGGCGTGTAGTGGGACAGATTATAATAATTTGTTTCCACATATAGAACGACCATATTGTTGACTTTTAGCGCAACAATAAAGAACTGTGGGCAATGCATTTGTTTCGCTTCTTAACAACGTTCTAAATGCGTGAAATTAAGAGCATTTTGTTCATATTAGTGGCTTGTGAGTGTTAATATTAGAATTGCATTTCCACATCGTATTTTAAATTGCAGCTAACAGTTAGTGGACGCGAATAATTCTGTTCATTAAATATAATTTATAATCCTTTACGAGATGCCTTGGATGACATAAACCCTGTCAAGTAGATTTTCCGTGTAAAATGTTTCCCTTTTGATCTATGTTCAAAAGGCCAGCACTCGTACTGAGTGCATATCGAGAACGCAATTATCGACCGGTCGTCAGTCTGTCCAGTCGATTTGTATCGATAATCGCTGTACGTATTGAGATGCGATTTGACATCCAGCACGACTTCAAAAATCGTACTTTTGAATGGTGATGACAAAGTGGCGGACGAGGAAAGTCGTGAAACAGAAATCGAACGAATAAAGAGTGAAGAGATATAAAATATAAGAAATTGGTCTAAAACAGAAAAATAAAAATAAAATTAAA